GCCCACTGCTGCCTGTCTGGATGCTGTGCGGGACCCACGGGGCACCTCCCCGGGATGGAGCCTGTGCCGGTGAGGGCAGGCACCCTCGAGCCTCCGCTTCTGCCAGTAACTGTGGTACCCCGCTGCAGTCGGGCCACAGCAGAAGGGCAGGGCAGGGACCTGCAGGTGGGTGCGGGCTCCCCTCGCTGCCTTGCACTGTGCCCATCACTGCCAGTGCCTCGGTGCCTCGTGGGTCTGCTGGCCCGGATCCAGATTCCTGCTTAGTGCCGCCGCTTCTGGCCCTCCTGCTCATCACGTGCTGTTTTCCATTTGCTTTCTTGCTGCCTGCACTATGGAGTGTGCCAGGGTGCCCATGTTCTTGATGCCAGTCCCTGCTCTGGCACTTTACAGGTGGTTTTGGGGCTGAGCATCCCACTGCCTTTCTGATGCTACCAGCTCGCAGCTTTTCCTCCAGGAGGACAGCGAGGGCAGCAGTGCCCTCTCTGCATGCCCGCCTGTGCTTGCACTGGAGCTGCCTCCACAGTTTGCTCCAAGAGCCCATGGTGTGCTCTGGGGCACGTGCCTGCAGTGAGCTGGGGCTGGCTGTCAGCTGGGAGCAGGGTACAGCACGACCTTGGTGCTCTCTGCCTGTTTGACCTTGGCTGAAGTGGTGTACGTGGTCACCTGTGTGTGGTTTCCATGATGCTGCCAGGGGCTCTCAGCCTGCAGCTGGACCTGTGCTTCCAGGTCTCTGAGGAGCGTCCCCATCTCCTCTCTGCTGCCACACTCCTCCATCTCCTTGGCTGTCTTGCAGCCTGACAGCAGGATGCTGAGAGCAGTGGTGATAGTGTTGCCTCCACAATGCCTTTGCCCACTCAAGTGCTTTTGATGAGCCTGATCTTGTCCATGGAGGTGCCCAGGGAGATCTGTGCTGTGCGGCTACCTTTTATTCTTGAAGTCCCTGGGGAGGGGCTTTGGTGAGGTCCAAAGTCTCCCACAGGCTCCTAACCCTGGGATGGCTGCTGTGGTGGGAAGGTCCAAGTCCTTGTTGACACAGAAAAACGTGTCTTGCGAGTTTGTTGTCTTGTTCCTAAAAGCTCAGTGCAGTTGCAGGTAGCTGCCTAGGCTGGGTCCTTGGGATGGCTGCAGCCCAGCAGAGCAAGAAGAGATCCTGAGAGACTGGCAGGTGGTTTCCAGAGGGGCTGACTATGGCCTCTGAGTGAGGAAGGTGAAGATTTGCCCCCCACCCCCCTGAGTTACACAATTGCTTCAGTTGTTGAGAGTTCAGTTCAGAGCCAGCTCAGTTCTCCTGCTTTCACAAAGCCCCACAGCTCTGTCCAAATGCTCCTGAGCTCTCTTGAGTCCCTTCAGGTGGCAACCACTCACTGGAACAGCTGCTTGGTGAGCCCAGGACCTTCCTCCTCTGCATGAGTCAGCTGTCCCCAGTGCTTCCCTGTGGGTCTCAGCCCCATGTCACAGCTGTGCCTCAGTTCCCCTGCCCTAGGGCCTGGCACCCAGCAGGGCTGGCAGCGTGTTCCCTGCACCCTGCTCATCCCTGTGCCTGTGTGCAGGCAGTGCTGGAGGGGATGAGCCTGCACCATCTCAGGAGCGGAAAAAGGAGCTGGGAAGCAAAATGTTTCCATGTCCCAGTCCAGCAGGCACATGCTGGCCCCGTTGCTGGTGGTGTGAGCCAGCCAGGCAGGAGTGGCAGAAGCCACTCACTTGTCCCCTGGGGTGGCTGTGGAGAGGCTGGGGTCCAGGCTGAGCTCCTGCTGAGGACCCTCCTGTGGGCATCCCATGGTGTTTGAAGACCTGGCAGACCCGACCCCTCTCAGCCTTCACCCTCCCACGGGAGTGCAGCCAGGTCCCTGCTCCCACCCTGTGCCTGTCCTGCAACCCCCCTGCCCCAGCCCTCTCCCCTCCCCATCCTGTATTTGGCTCCGTTCCACTGACTGCTCTTTATCCAGTGTCTCTTGTATCCAAATCCGTGTCCCACAAGGGCTAAGAGCACAGATGCAGACATTTAGAAGTTTGTTTTTTTCAGCAATCATGCAAAGAATTGGACACTGTGACACAAATACAGGATTTGGAACCACAAATAAAAATGGTTGTGGTTCTGCTATTTTAAAAATAGCTTTGTCCTGTGCACTTCACAATTCTCCTTCTATTGCCTTTCAATTCCAAATGAATACTTAACCTCAGGCCTGCCCTGTTCTGCACCAGAGAACCTGGTTCAGCTGCTGTGATGGATCCCAATCCCAAACCTAGCTGTCCCTACTGTCCTTGTCCTGTCCTTCCCTGCCCAGAGCCTGGTGAGGCTGGTTTTGCCTGTCTTCTGTCTTCCTGTGAGCCCCCTCTGGGGACCTGCCCATCCCCATCCCCTCTCCTGAACGCAGCGTCTGTCTGTGCCTCCCGCCCAGCTCCACAGCCCCACTGTTTGTGCTTTCCAGCTTTAGCCTGGCACTATTTCTGTCGTAGGTGCTGCGGGCGGTGGGGAAAGAGGAAGCAGGGAGGAAACCAGAGGCCCAGAGTGGGGTCGGGCTGTAAATACCTGACTGTACGATTTTCCTGTGGAACCCCTTGGGGTTCCCCGGTGGGCAAGAGCATTCAGGGCAGCAGGCAGTGCCGTGCCTCCCCTGGCTCCGGTGCCCAGGTTGGGCAGGTAACCTTAGCCAGCAGCCCTGGGGCTGCAGGGCACCTTGTGTGTGCACTCACATGGCTGTGAGCACAAAGCCACAGGGAGGGCAGTGGCACCCACTGCTGACAGAGAGCTGGCTCCTCTCAGGGGCTCGGGACCTCCCTGTGCCTGTGGACAAGGCTGCGGCCAGAGCGCCGGGCACTTTCCAGCGCTGGCTCTGTGCCCCAGCACGGTGTTCCTCTGAATGCCCCCTCCAGAGTACAAGTGGCAGTGCAGAGCCAGGGCCCTGGAGGGCTGCAGGAGCAGGACAGCCGAGGGCTGCGGGATGGCAGAGCTCTGTGAGCGCTGCAGAGCACTGAGCGCCAGCGCTGCCAAGCTGGGAACATCCTCCTGCCGCAGAGGCAACAGCCGCTCTCGGCCACTCCGTCCCACCCTCCCGACTCCTGCGCTGGCCTCAGCTCCTGGTGTTGGCTGTGCTGGGCTCCTCAGCAGCCAGCTCCTGGCTCACAGGATGGGCTGGACCATTGCCACCCAGCTCCTCATGGTCCCCATGCCACCATCCCCGGCGTGCTCCTCCACCCTGTGCGGGTGCTGTTAGGAGAGGACATGGTGTGCCCATGCTGTGTGCCATGTCTGTGCTGGCAGCCCTGTCTGCCCTGCCCTTCCCGGTGTTCCTCCAGCCAGGCTGGGCTTTGATGCCCACACTCAACAGGGAGAGATCAGCATGCACAGGAGCGGGAGCTGCTGCCACTTTGACCATGTGGAAGGAACGATGCCAAGTGAGCCCAGCAGCCCTGGCACAGGCTTGGGGGACATGCTTGGCTCCCCCAGACCTTACTCCAGCCACTCTGGGAGAGCTGGCCTTGTGCTGGGGCTCTGCCTGGAGCTGGGCATGGCACAACTGCTCTCCACTCTCGCTGAGCTGGGAGAGCAATGGTCACTCATGACTCCCCACCAGTTCACAGCCCGTGTCAGCTTCCTCATGCCCTTGCAGGTTTGTGGGGTGCAGTGAAGCCTCTGGACACCTCTCAGTGGGGAGGAGGGGGCCAGGGGGGTGATGGTGGCGGTGGCACTGGGCGGGGAAGCTGCTGTGTGCTGCTGCCTGTGCAGGGGTTCGGGTGCTGTTTTCCTCCTTCCATATGAAAGGTCCCATTCATGCTGCTGCAGCAGGCTCAGGTTCTCGTCTGGGCTGAGCCTGTCCCCGAGCATGTATTAAATGTGGGGGGATTATGGAGCAGCTCCAGCCAAGGCATGGGGCCGCCTGTGATGCAATGAAAATATTACGAAAGCTGACGGGGTTGATGGATGGTGGCCACTGGCCAAGAGGCTGAGCACAGCTCTGGCAGCACTGGTGGTGGGAGCTTTGTGGCAGCTCCAGTTTCCTTGGCCTCTGAATGTGGGCTGGGCAGGGGTCCCAGCTTGGAGGCCCCCAGGCTCTGCAGCAGCTGAGCTCTGCAGGACCCCAGGCTGTGGTGGAGTTGTCACTGCTCCTGCCCCTGCCCAGGGCTGATCTCTCGCAGCTGCCGTGCTTGGGGCTGGACCTGGCTCCCCCAGCTCCGGCCAGTCAGCTCCCCTCTCCCGCACCCTGGGGCTGTGTCCCTTCAGGATGAGGGGGCCGCCCCTCCGCTGGCCCCTGCCCAGCTGCAGTCAGCACCCTCGGCTTGTGTTTCCACTTTAATTAATTCGAGCAGGAGGAACATGGAAAAACCTGGGCTGGAGCCTCCCCCGCCTGCTTTCCCCAACAAAGGCCTCATTGAGGCTGGCCCAGCACTCAGCCAGCAGAGCCCAGTGCTGATGGTGCCCCAGTGGGGGCAGAAGAGCCACGGCCATGGGGTCTGCACAGGGCAGGATGGCAGCAGCTTCTGCAGAGCCCCCGCACATCCCCTCCAGTTCCAGCGTGGGGCTCCTGTCCTGAGCGTGGTGGGCTCCAGCTGGGGGCTGAGGGAGGGGAGTGGGGACATGTGGCCCCAGCACAGGGCAGTGAGAACTGCGTGGGGTCCTTGGTGCCCCCTCTGTCCTGCAGCCTCCCAGAGCGGTGGGCTGGTGGGGGACCACGGCCCAGGGTGGCCCCAGCCATGTGTGTGCCACTGTGCTGGGGGACAGCAGGTCTGACCCGGGCTCTGTGCTGGTGCCACAGAAGCCTCCTCTGCCTTGTATGTTGGGAGTGGGGATGGGGATGTGAGGGTCTTTTGTAGCCAGGGGACCCCCCTGTGCTGGGCAGGACCCCACATGCCCTCCTCACACCCCCCTGGCTCCCACAGACACGGAAGCTGTCCAAGACGGAGCGGCAGCGGTTCAGTGAGGAGGTGGAGATGCTGAAGGGGCTGCAGCATCCCAACATCGTCCGCTTCTACGACTCCTGGAAGTCAACTATCAAAGGCCAGATCTGCATCGTGCTGGTCACAGAACTCATGACATCTGGCACCCTGAAAACGTGATTGGGGCGTGCGGGGGAGGGAACAGGGTCCCTGCTAAGATGTTCTTTGTTGCTTGCCCTGTGTGTTCATCCAAGTCTGGGCGGGCTTGCCATGGCAATGGGAGGAGGGTGGGCTGGAGCCAAGGCTGGGGCACGAGTCCGAGCCCCCCAGGTCTGAGCCCTGGTGGTCCCTGGCAGGTATTTGAAGCGCTTTAAAGAGATGAAGCTGAAGGTGCTGCAGCGCTGGAGCCGGCAGATCCTCAAGGGTCTGCATTTCCTGCACACTCGCTCGCCCCCCATCATCCACCGCGACCTCAAGTGTGACAACATCTTCATCACGGGCCCCACGGGCTCAGTCAAGATCGGGGACCTGGGCCTGGCCACACTCAAGCGAGCCTCCTTTGCCAAGAGTGTCATAGGTGGGGCTGGGCTGGTGGGAGCTGTGGGGGCTGCAGGGGATGGACATCCCCAGGGTCCTGAGCTGCACTGCTGCCTCCAGGCACCCCCGAGTTCATGGCGCCGGAGATGTACGAGGAGAAGTACGACGAGGCCGTGGATGTCTACGCCTTTGGGATGTGCATGCTGGAGATGGCCACCTCGGAGTACCCCTACTCTGAGTGCCAGAACGCCGCCCAGATCTACCGCAAGGTCACCTCGGTGAGGCTCGGCCCCAGCTGCGGGTGATGCTGGTGGCTGAGCCCACAGGAAGCGGGGAAAGGGGCTGGGATGGTCAGCTGGAGCTGTCAGGCCTTGCTGCTGTCAAAATGTGTCACTGTGCAGGTTGTGTGAGTGGCTGAAGTTAGTCTGGGCAGTGAGGGGTTGCTCTGCCAGGCCATGGAGCTGTGGGTGGTGGCGGTGGGGCCATGGCTAGGCCAGATCCCACATCCCTGGCTCTGCACCAGCCACTGCCAGCGTGTTAATGGGGTGGAACGGGAGCAGTCTGCTCAGTCACCCTGGCCTGGGGCACTGCAACTGCCCTGACCGGTCACAGCCAGCTCCTGCCTGTTGGGATGGAAACCCAGAGCCCTGGGGCATCCTGGCCCGTGCAGGCACACGTGGCCTGGCCACAGGAACTGCTGCAGAGCTCATGGGGCCCTGGGCTGGTTGTTCCCTGGCCCCAGGAGCCCCGTGCTGTGGAGGGTTGGCACAGGAGGTGCTCACTCTCATTACCCCCAGGGCCTGAAGCCCAGCAGCTTCTACAAGGTGAAGGTGCCCGAGCTGAAGGAGATCATTGAGGGCTGCATCCGCATGGACAAGAACGAGAGGTGGGAGCAGAGCAGGGCCGGGGTGGCAGGGTCCCCCCTGGCCCTGAGCCCGTGCTGAACTCTGTACCCTCTGCAGGTACACCATCCAGGACCTGCTGGAGCATTCCTTCTTCCAGGAGGACACAGGGGTGCATGTGGAGCTGGCTGAGGAGGATGATGGAGTCAAGTCTGGGCTCAAGCTCTGGCTGCGCATGGATGACACAAAGAAGCTGCACGGCAAGTACAAGGACAACAACGCCATCGAGTTCCTCTTTGAGCTCTACAAGGATGTGGCAGAGGAGGTGGCTCAGGAGATGGTGGGTACAGAGATGGGGGAGCCCTGGGTGCTGCGGGGCCCCTACACCCTGAAGTGACGAGTTCCCTCCTGTGCAGGTGGTCCTGGGCTTTGTCTGTGAGGCCGACTACAAGCTGGTGGCCAAGGCCGTGCGGGACCGCGTGGTCGCCATCAAGCGCAAGCGGGAGAAGCTGAAGCGCGCCCAGGACGCGCCATCGCCCGCGGAGCCAGAGCAGCCGCCAGGTGTCCTGCGGCTGCTGGAGGAGCTCAAGTCCCCGCTGTCACCTGGTGCCCCCACGCCTGCCCTGGCCACCCCTGGCTCTGGGGACTCTGCCTTCAGCAGCACCTTCCCCCTGGAGCCTGAGGAGCCTGAAGCTGACCAGCACCAGCACTTTACCTACCGGCACACCAGCTACTCCTCGGCCACCTGTGCGTAGGCACCAAGGGACAACGGCTGGGTGGGCAGCGGGGGACCGGGGGTGGGAGGAGGGTGGGGGGCTTTGTCAACTTCTCCCAGCCCCACAGCCCTTTCCCAGCTGCCCAGCCAGGGAAGGGACTGGCTTTGGTTCATGCCAGCACTCCTCCGCAGCCGACTGTGAGACGGATGGGTACCTGAGCTCCTCTGGCTTCCTGGACTCCCCAGACCTGGCCCATCGCAGCTTTGCTGCAGTGGACCCTACCAGCCCACCGCCCACCCGGCCCGTGCGCTGCTTCCCCACGGTGAGCACGGCCCCACGGGCGGGGGCTCGGGGCAGCTGCGGCACCGGCTCACCCCCTCCTCTCCCTGCAGAGTATCGCCGTGCAGCTGCCCACTGAGCATTTGCCGCCTGCCAGCGGCTTCTCCTCCTCGGTGGACAGGTGAGGCTGGGGGTCAGGCAGGGGCTGGGCAGGGAGTGTGGTACTTGGGAACGGCCATGCTGATGCTCCAGAGCTGGGGCTTCCTGCAGCTACACCTCAGATGTGGCGTCGGGCATGAGTGATGGCTGTGAGGGGCTCTCGGCCAGCGAGCAGAGCGCCAAGCTGCCGCCCAAGCGAGCCTCGGGGAAGCTGCTGCGGCGCCGAGCCCGGTCCAGGCTGCGCATCACCAATGTGAGTGCCACAGGGGCCGGGCAGGAGCCAGGCAGGTGCCAGGCAGGTTCTCCCAAGCTGAGCCAGCCCTGCCACCCACAGATCTCCGACAAGAGCGACCGAGTGGTGGAGTGCCAGCTGCAGACCTACAACAACAAGATGGTGACCTTCAAGTTCGACCTGGATGGGGACAACCCGGAGGAAATTGCAGCCGCCATGGTGAGAGCAGGGTGAGGGTGAAGGTGGGGTCTGCCTGGCTGGGCTGGGTGCTGACCGGCCCCTCCACCCTCAGGTCCACAACGAATTCATCCTCAAGTCGGAGCGGGACAGCTTCATCAACCGCATCCAGGACATCATCCACCGTGTGGAGACCCTGCTCCGCAAGGATGGGCGCAGCGGCACCGAGCTGCCCAAGGGCCCCGAGGCTGAGAGTGCTGTGGGCAGTCCCGTGAGTGCCAGCCTGGCCCTGCCAGCGCTGGGGAAGCTGCTGCTGCTGCTGCTGAGCATGGCTTGGGATGCTGCCTGGCCCCAGGGAGTCCAGGGGGGAGGGCTGGGGTGCAGGATCCTCCTGTGGTCACTTGCCCGCTCCTGTGCCAAGTCAAAGTGCTCCCCAGCCCAGAAGAGTCTCCAGCTCCTGTCCCCACAGGGTGGGGCCCAGCGGGGGCTTGGCACAGCCTGGCTGGGGCCTCTGCCCCAGTGCTGGGCTCAGCTCATCCTTCTCACAGGTGGACCTGCAGCTGCAGGGGCTCTCTCGCTCCATCTCTTCCTCATCCTCACTCAGTGGTACGTCAGTGCCCCTGTGCAGGCCCTTCCTGTCTCCCCAAGCCCTGTGCAGGGCAGGCGATGGCCTCAGCCAAGCCCAGAGGGTCTCAAAGGACATGTCCTGCCCTGGCTGAGCCTGGCTGTCACCCCTGTGTCACAGACCTGAGCTGCACCAGTCCCAGCCTCTCTGTCCAGTCCCCTGTCCTGCCGTGGCTGAGCCGCTCCCCATCAGAGACCAACCTGGCCAGTCCTGTGGAGCCGCTGGCAGCCCCGGTGCCACTACGGTCCCCCACAGGTACCAGTGCTGGCAGGGCAGGCATGTTCATTGCTCTGGGGCTGCCAGCTGTTTGCTGGCTCCAGGCTCCAGCTGCTAGCCAGGAGTAAGGCAGGGTCCTGGGGGGGTGCTCCTGATGATTCTCTCCCTGCAGGCTCAGCCTCGATGACTCCCTCCTGGCTCACGTCGTCACCGGCACTGACACCAACACTGACTCCCCAGAGGACCCCAGGGGGGCCTGTCCCCCCAGCCCTGCCCCAAGCCCTCCTGTCCCCCCAGCCTCTCCCCACATCCCCCGTTCCCTGTGAGCCCAGCAGTCCCCTGAGCCCCCCTGTGACTAGCACACCCTTGTCCCCCACTGCCCCCCTCTTGTCCCTGGCCAATGTCTTCTCCCTGGCAGTGATGACCGTGGCCCACACTGTCTCCTCCATTGCCAGCTCAGGTGGGCACCTCTACCCACCGCTGCTGCCACGGCCACAGAGTCTTGTCCTGAGTGCCCCACGCTTTGTCTACCCTGACCCCACCGGCACAGACAAGCCAGTCCCACCTGGCAGTGGGATCCTGGAGTCAGTGCGAGCTGATGTCCCCACTGCTGGGGTGCCCATATCCTCCCTCCCCTTGGCACCAGCCCCAGTGTGCCCCACAGGCAGCGAGGCTGTGGGGAGCCCTCTGCAGCTGCTGAGCACATCCACATCTGGGAGTCCAGAGGGCAGCACGGTGAGTGTGGGTGTCCAGGGGCTGTCCAGGGCTGCTCAGTGTCAGGAAGGCTGGGTGGCGGCTGCAGATGCTGCACTGGGATGGGATGGAGCCTCGTGGCTTGTGGAGCCACTGGGGTGCAGGGAGGGCTGAGTGGGTGGCGGATCCCAGGGCACAGAGGGGAGGACAGGAGATGTGGCGGTACCTGGGGTGGAGCTGCTAATGGTGTTCAGGTGCCCACAGGTGCTGCCAGGTGCCCCCAAGCCCAGCCACTCTCTGATCATCTCAGAGGCACCAGCCCCCAGCGTGCCCAAGGCCCAGCTCTCACCCATCAATGAAGGTAAAGGGGGGCAGCACCAAGGCTGTGCCCTGTGCCCGTGCCAGGGCTCTGCAACGCCCCGGCCAGCCCATGTGCCCTGAACCCCACCAGCTGCCCCTGTCCCCAGCAGAAGCCAAGCCCCAGGTCCTGGGCCGGTTCCAGGTGGTACCAGCCAAGGACCTGGCTGTGACCTCTCCGGTGCTGGGCAGCAGTGACGGGGAGCAGCACGGCACGGAGCCGGCAGCGAGCGG